AATAATGTATTAAAGGGAATATATAAAATGTTTAAGAGTAAATAATAGAGTTTAATTTTCTGTGGAATGCTGTTTTGATCATACTATAAACTTAAGCTTCTTTTTATTTTTGTTTTATTATCTTACTTTGTGTTAAGCAGAATCAGTATGGAATTTGTTTAAAATGTATTACTTTAAGTATCAAATTTAGGGGAAAGATAAAAGTGGTCATGCTTCAACCAGTGATTACAGGAGAAATATTGTATTGGAAAGAAAAGACAAATAGATAATTGAAGAAAACAGACAAAAGATACAAGTATAATTATTTAAAATGAGATGAAATAAATATAATAGAATTATGAGAGTGAATAGAGAAGAGAAAATATATAGAAAATACTGAGTGTTAATAAGATATGAAGTAGTGTATTGAGTGAGTATGAACTTGATTTATGTCTGTATAAAAAGAGGTAACCCGGGGTAAGCCGCTTTCCCAAAAGAAGTTTTAGGTATGTACGTTTTGTGTTTTGTATGTCCATGTTTGAAATCTTAGAAGAATGTAAGAAGACTGTTGGAAGAGAATAATGAAATTGTAAATAAGACAGATGGATATAAAGAATGTATACAAGCTAAAGTAAAAGGAATATAATTTGAATAATAGAAGGAAAGGGAGAAACAAAGAGAAGCTGGGATAGGATATGAAGTTGAGCAGATGGGGCAAATATATGTTAAATTGTGCTTGTATGGAAATGTGATAATTTGGAATTATTCTGTCTTTAAATAAGGTGTTTTATTGAGGTGTTTTATTGATTTCCTCAGAAGGGATCTCTTATGTTATTATATTCTATGTTTTGTTTGTGTATTGTTTTGTAAAACTTAATAAAATTTGTTTAAAAAAAAAAAAGCTCGGGGGGAAGGATTGAAACTCTAGCGCCAAACCAAACCTAATAGTGTCCTTGACCCACGCATCAGAGGTGGAGCTGTCCCATTGATCAGCAAACAATTTTAGCCACTCTCCAATGGGAACTGCTGTCAAGGACTCACTTGGGTTGATGAAAAAGTCGGCCTACGGTGCCCCTGGAGTTTCTTCTGTTTTGGCCTCCCCACTGACCTCTATCGGAAGATAGACCTATCCTGTCTAAAACTGGGTCTGTAGCCTGATGTTCTCTGAGATCTGGGAACGTATGGGCCTTGATAGTAGGGCCGAAAGAAACCCCTTCGAAACGACTGGGGCATTCTATTTTCAGACCTCTGAAAGAGAGGGGGAAGTACTTTTTTTCTTGTTTCTATTCTCTATAAGGAGGGGCTCCAAGACACTGCAAAATAATTTATCCCCCGATATTGGGGCTGATGCCAACTTGCATTTATGCTTGGTATCCACCTGCCAATGTCTGAGTCATAGCAGTCTCCGTGCTGATACGTGAGATGCTATGGGCCTAGACAAGAATTTGACTGCATTAAATGTGGCGTCAGTGGAGAATTCTGCTGCTGCAATAATTTTAGCTATGTCCTGGTGGGCTCTGACATTTGACACTGGCAATATATCCCTGAAGTGGCAGAGCCATCGTAGGGAGGACCGTGTAAAAAAGGACGCCGCTGTAGCTGCCCTAATGGCCCAGGTGTCAGAAACGTGTGCCCTATGGAGTGCCAACTGTGCTCTCTTTTCTTCTGGTCTCAGGGCTTCCTTGGCCTCGTTGGGAAAGGCTGAAGAAGAGGCCAGTGCCACAGTGTTCCGGCATTTTGAGAAAATTTGAAAACTCTGGTGCCAAATTATAATACTGTTTATTGTACTCTGTTGGGGCTGGGTATGATGCTGCTGATGCCCATTGATTTTGTACTAATTCAGCAAACATATGAGGGACGGGAATAGTTTCCACCTCATTAGCCGGTTGTGAGAATATTAGATCCTCGGATTTGTCCTGAGACCCTATTGACAATGGATGAGGGTTTGATGTGCCTAGTTTAGTGGTGTTCTTTGCCTTGAACAGTAAGGATTTAAAGAGGTGCGGGCAAAAAAGGCCAGAAAGGTAGGTTGGTCCGGAATGAGACCTTCGTCGTCTGACATTCCCCGTTCTAGTGGGTCAGCCTCTGACAACCCCAAGTCCATCTGATGGACCGAACCCACCTCCATGGGAACATCCTGATCCTCAAATTCTACCTCCTCCTGAAGGCCCTGGGCTGGTATGTTAGGAATATTGGGGAATACCTGAGTTTGAAGTTGTCCCATATGCACAAAGGATCGAGTGGACAGGGATCCCGCATCCGAAGTGGCCAAGAAGTGTCTGTCCAGATGAATTGCTGAACTCCAGCCGCAATGCCCCTTTGAATCGCCATCTCCATCCATTGCCTCATTTCGATGGGGATAATCTCAGGTAATCCCTCCTCCTGTCTTAGGCTGGCGACTGTAGGGGTGAAGGTTGCCTCTGGGATTAGCTGGGCAGTGCTCATTGGAGGAGATGTGCCTATGGGAGGTTGTCCAGAAACAGCCTGCCTGGGCTGGGTGGATAAGTCCTAGGGCCTCAACAATGAACTTGGGTCCTGATCAGATTGTTGTGTCATAGCCATCTTGTCTGCCTCCCTGGCTTGTTTCTGCAATTGCCTTTCCAAATGTCTATGGGCATCCAAGCGGCGGCCTAAGAGGCCGTTTTGGGGCTCACTGGCTTATCTCGGGACTTATTTGTCTTGGAGTGTTTTTTTTTTTAAGGTGTTGCCACCTTCCATTGTGGATGACTGATTCTCTTGCCTCTGACTTTAATTTTTAATTATTTTTTAAAAATTATTATTATTAATATTATTATTAGTATTTGTACTTTGGGGTGATGCCTTCCCCTGTGGTTGAAAGTAGAACGCTCCTCCAGGAGAGTAAGTGTATGTATGTATGTATATATATATGTGTGTGTGTGTGTGTGTGTGTGTGTGTGTGTGTGTGTATCTGTATACATATACATGTGCATATGTATATACATATATCTATATGTAAAACTGTGCATATGGTAAACAGTATCTAAGGATCCCCAACAAGGGAAACCCCCAAGCGCTCCAAGTGAGAACTTTCTGGATCCCTGGTCCCCAACAAGGGAAACCAGCTATACAGGATCTGAGGTGGATTGTTTCCTGTCAAAACAAAACATCCCACTGTTTAAAATGGCACTTGTGGCTTCACTCCAAAGAAATGATCCAAAGGAAATTGCAAGGAAATTCCTGTTTAATGACTAGCCTGCTTATGCAACGTCAGCCAGACAAGGGAAAGTTAAACCCAGGGAGAACGAAGTGGGAAGGTACTGCCCCGGTGCCCCAAAAGGGAAACCAGCAGGGAATGGTGCCTGAGATATTTAGACGTGAACTTGAGCCAGCCGTTGAAAAAGGCGGGAAGCCAGAATCTCTGCTGCTAATGTCTGAGAAGTCTAACGAGCCGCTGCTGCTGAGGCTTTAACTTGCGAGTTAAAAGCTCCTATCAGACGAAATGGCAAGGCGAAGTGAGCCGCGGCTGGGAGCACTCCGCTACGATCGCAGAGAAGATGATCAGAAAGTTAGTTAAGGTAATTGCCTGAGACGGTCGCCTCAAGCTGCCCGTGGAGTGGCAGGCTCCGCTAGTTACAAAGAAACTGTTTTTAAACTGATCGAGGCAACCCAATAGAGGCACAAGCCTGAAAAAAGCCAAATTAAATGGGGAAGATTTTTACAAGCCGAAATAACCCAAGAGCAAACCTGAATCAGAAAACCGTTCCAGTCAGGGAGTGCACAACCTCTTACCACGAAGGCTGAGCTAAAACTGGGGACGCTGAGGAGGTGTCCCGTGGAGGAGGAGGAGCGTTCCGGAGTTTTAAGCCCAGCCTTTCCAGAAGAGACTGAAACACCTCCCACTTCTGGATGCTCTGAACAGCTCACGGGAGAAATGGAAGAGATGGAAGAGAACATTCATGTATTAAAAATAGTGAAAAATCACTTTGGATTATTCCTTAAGATGTTGTGCAGCATGGTCCCATTTAAATAGATTAATCATAATTCCAAACAATTAGAATTTAGAATCAAAGAAGAGATTAGCCATTTGTATGTATGCATATTTATTGATTTGATTTCTGTCCCATGGCAAACTTATGACACTTTTCTTTTGTGGCTCTGAATTTTCTCTGCATATGTGTTTTATGGGAGCGGAATTACATGTTACAGAGGACCAAGCCAGCCCCCCAAAAACTTATTTGCCTGATTGTTAAGTAGACCTCCAATGTAACAACCACAATGCACAGAAGTTCCTCCAGGCAAAGCAACATGGCTGGAACTATAAGAGTCTTGCAACAAATGGGGTTGTTGTATTGATTCAGGAGGCCGTGTTTTGTATGCATTTCCATTCTATTTTGATGGAACGTAAGTCATAATTTCAGTGCAACTTTAGCTCACACTAAAAACACACACACTTTATGTATTTAGGTAAGAAAGCCTGTTTGTATTATAAGATAAGACTCTTAATAAGAGTCATTGCTATTGTTGGTGTTATGGTAGCTATGGGATGTCAAACAGTATCAGTTTTTGATAGAAGAGTATATATGTAGCCCAGAGTGGTGTTCTGCGAGGTTGATTATTTGCTTATAGAGATTTTATTACACAACTACAATAGGAGAGTTGTCAATGATTTTTTTGAGACCATCACTTCTTGTTTAAAAGATACACTTAGATTATAAACTGTAAACTGAAATCTTAATCTAGGGAAGTATCAATGTAAATTTTCTGGGATAATATATTGGGTAATTGTTAAAAACAGTTTAATTCTTACTCTAATATGATAATTAGAACAATGATATCTGAAAATTAAACTGATTTTTGTACTAACAAATATTTTCTTTTTTCTTTACATGAAGCATCATAACCAGAATACGTCAAGAATTGTAAATAACTCTCTTTTTTAAGTGCTACTAAACAACAAAGTTAATGTGCAGGTCTGGATTATATGTTGTATACATTTACCCTCCATTGTTATTCAGATCACAGATACTGAATCAGGAGTATACGAGGCAATTCAAACATACCTGATATGTGGAGACAGGGGAAGCAGCAATCAATGGAGTGATGGATGTCTGTGGAATCATGCGGTTTGTAGCAATATTGTACGTTGAGGAATAAAATCTGTGAACAAAACAAAAAAAGTAAGAAAAAGAAAAAAGAGGTAATGGACTGACATGGACTGCTTCATAAACCACTACCAACTAAAGGTAAATGTATCTGTAATAAATGTAAATCTCTATTGTAATTATTGTTAACCTTGTAGAATATTAATTAGAAAAGAATGGTGAGATATAAATCAGAAAAATTAACAAAATAAAGCAGTAAATGGGAATAATCGCCCTTTTATACTTCTGCCTTTTCATTAGCAAAATCATTAAAAAAAAATCCTGCACCAGTTTTTAGACTAACGTTAAGACATTGGGAGTTTTTAATTAAAAACTTGTTTTACTCAGATTTCTAATTAACTGTGAAGTCAGAGACTAACTCAGATTTCTAATTAACTGTGAAGTCAGAGACTAACCAAAAATAAGATTCTGATCTTTATTTCATATTAGTCTTGGAAATGGGCATTTTTTCAGATTTGTCCTAAAATTTATGTTTATTGTATTTGGCCTACAATCCTTCATATTGCAATAATACACAGTCCCTTTTTAGAAACGAAGAGAGGTCTGTTTGAAATATGAACATAAGAATATATACTGTTTTAATGGATTTATAATTCATATTCAATCAATATGAGTAACAGGAATGTCTGCTGTAGGATGATGAAGAGGAGGTTGTGAAAAAGAAAAACAATATGGCAACCACACCTGTGCAATTAAGGCAATATTTTATCCTAGCTTTATTATATCAGCCTTGCACCTCAAGAAAAAAAAAGTCCTAACCCCTACTCTGTTAAGGGATTTGTAGGTTTTATTTCTGAAAACAGTATTTAAAATGTGCATATTAAGGAACATCCATATTAAAAAAATAAATACTGGGAAACAGGTGCTCATAATAAAGCATACCCACACTTAAAAGGTATTATCAAAGTTAATGTTAAAACCAACAAACATAATCAATTGTATTAACTATTGTGTTGCCTTTTTTGTTTTTGTTTTTGGTTGAATTTTGAGATGGTTGCAGAAATAAGTCAATGTGAGCACTGTACTGCAGATAGTAAAAAAGAAAATATGAATGAAAATGAAGGGATTTTGTCTTTCTTGACTTTCTAAAGGCTTCATCAACATTTGGGAATTGGGAGGAGAAATTTATTTCTCCATAAAATTGTAGCAACAATTAAGACAAGATGAAGCCTTAATTTCTAAGCTTGCAGTTACATATTTACCTCAGAACAGAATAGATGAGAGACAGATATATGCAGACATAAGGATCGTATGATGTTGGAATTTGATAACGGGTATACTTTGTTGATAAAATAACGTTACTGATAATTAATTGCTTTGGGAACGTAAAAGGAACAAAAAATTATGTGCCACAAAATGAATACCATTATGAATAATACTGAATAATTACATGGGTTATTTCTGACTTTATAACCATTGCACTGCTTAGATTAATTTAACTACTGATTATTTAACTTTTTTTTTAAAGTGTCCCATTCAATTCTGACAAACTCTATTTATGATTAATGCAATGGATTCAAATTTCCCAATAAATAAAAATCATTAATTACTAAACACATTAGAATATATAAATAATATTAACGAGTTTAAAGATAATTAATGCCATGGATTAACAAAATAGTAATAGTTCAAAATGAAACTAAACCAAATTTACATTCACTTTCAGTTTCCAAATTATAGTGGAGGTGTTTTTTAAAAAATATTGTAGTGGTGAATATTTTCAGTGTAATAAAAATTGCATTTTATTCAAAAACTTGGGTTCTAAAATGTTTCTGTTTTGCAATAATGCTGATGAAAGACCAATTTTTAAGATAAAAGTGATGAGAAGTAAACTAAAAATGAACTAATTATAAATAGAATAAAATAGAATTAGAATATGTATCAGTGGTGGGATGCAATTTTTTTTACTACAAGTTCTGTGGGTGTGGCTTGGTGGGCATGGCAGGGAAAGGATACTGCAAAATCTCCATTCCCACCCCACTCCTGGGAGAAGGTTACTGCAAAATCCCATTCCCTCCCCACCCCACTAACCTGCTTTCCAACTCTGTTCTCCTGTGCAGGGCAACAAAAGAAGATCCAGGTGATCAGCTGGGACTCGGGAGGCAAAGAATAGATGGGGGTGGGGCCAGTCAGAGGTGGTATTTGCCAGTTCTCTGAACTACTCAAACTTTTCACTACCGATTCTCCAGAACTGGTCAGAACCTGCTGAATACCACCTCGTGTGTGTGTGTGTGTGTGTGTGTATGTGTGTGTGTGTGTGTGTGAGAGAGAGAGAGAGAGAGAGGTATGTATATATGTGTGTTAATTTATAGATTGTATAGGTAACCTTTAAAAACTAATGTTCTCAGAAAAAGAAAAAAGAGTCTTTAACTAAAAATGTAACATTTCAGAATAGCTTAGTAATATTAATAATTAATAACTGAACTGTGAAGCCCTGCGCTCAGTTATTCACACACCAATCATATCCCGCTTGGATTATTGCAATGTGTTATATATGGAGCTACTCTTGAAGAGCTTTCAGAAGCTACATAATCCAGTACTCAGAAAGTTTTGGAGGCCCTTAAGGTGGCAAATGTAATACAAGTATTATGCAAGCTAAGCTGATTGTCAAACTGCTTCTGGGTGTAATTCAAGATGTTAGTTATTACCTTTAAAGCCCTTCATGGCATGGGTCCAGGATAATTGTGGAATTATTTTTCCTAATGGGATTGGCCGACCTCACTTGTGCTGGCAGAAGGACCACATCAGCCAAGGAATTTCGGCTTGTGGAATCTAGAAGATACTTTTCTATTACAGCCCCTGTTCTCTGGAACATCTTGCCACAGAGATAAGATCTGCCCGCTCTCTTTAGGCCTTTAGGAAAGTCCTTAAACCCTGGCTAGGCTTGGGGTCCAGAAAGATGCTGCTGATTAGATGTGGTTGATACACTAATAGAAAGCCACCCCATCTCTCCTTTCCACAAGTTTTTAAAATTGTTTTAATTTTTGTAATTTTAATTCACTTTTAAATTATAATTACTTTATATGTTGTTATAATGTAAGCAATTCAGAGACTTCTGATCTGTGAGATGGCTGGCAAATAACATTCATAAATAAATTAAAATACATATCTATTATAAATATAAAAATAATTATAAAGTAAGGATAATTGTATTAATTATCAAAATTAATATTTCTCTGAAATTTGATAGTGGAAAAACAAATAATTTTTATGAATAAAGACAAGCAATCTGGAACATATCAAGCCATAGAAAATAATATAATCAACCACAAAGATGAAGTAAAGATAGATTTCTGTTTGTTTGTTTTTCATATTCTCAAACTGCTGCAAAAGTGTTTTAATAAAATTCAACAAGAAATTAATTATTATATAAAGAAATTAATTGCTATATACAATTTTTTATTATATTTTCTCTCACACAAATAGAGAGTGAGAGTGAGTGAGTGTGTGTGTGAGAGAGAGAGGGAGGGAGGGAGGGAGAGGGAGAGAGAGAGAGAGAGAGAACAAACTAAGGTCTTTTCCTTTTTATTTTGCCTGATATAAGGTTTTAGGGTGAAATTAAAAAGCTTCATATCCTATCCTTGTTTGAGCTTTTCCTAATGGGACTTGAAATCAACTTTCTTATTTTTTCATATGTTTAATGTTACTTTCAAGCAATTAACTGTATCCTCACTTCCTCCTGGCTCTTTTAGTGACTAGTTCAAAAGTCTTTGTTTCTTTGTTTCTTTTCAAAATACTTCTTACCTCCTAAGATAATATGTTGCAATGAATTTTGCAGCAGTCATGTAGTGGTAAAAAAAAAAAGGTATACAAAGTAGTTGAATACAAGAGGGATGATAAATAAATTTCATAATAAAAACATACAAACTGTCAATTTTTATGTCAAATCCTGACAAAAACATTCATAACAAAGAAAAGAAAAGTTTCCATAACTGTTGCCTTAATACATTCACCATATATATTATCTTACACCATCTGTTACCATCAGTTGCCACCCTTTACAGTACATTTGTTATAAGTAATATCTAGTTCATAGGTCATTATATTGAAGTTTAGCAAATTCTATATATTTGAGTAAAGCTTGCAACATATAAATTGGGTAATTTCTGCTAATAGCTACATAAGCTTAAGTAAGTCCCATAAATTGAAATAATACTTTTCAAAGTACTTTCTCATACTGCTTCAGTCTAAAATGGCCACCCTGAAAAGGAGGACTTAGCTGGACTAAGATTTGTGCAGGAGAGAAGAAAGAGGTGGACAACATAAGAACCAGGCAACTTGGCGCAACAATTAATTAAAAGGTACCCCAGGATGGTATTTTAAGAATTTTATGAAAGAATAAGAAAGCAGCAGATTTTTAAAGGGAAAGGAAAAAAAAGTGAAAATATCTTTGACAGGCTTCGAACCAGGATTGGAAGAAGCCGGAAAAAGATATCCAAACAAATTGAATTAAAATACATTGCTAACAAACAGGCACAATTTAAAGCTGGACTTAGGAGTTTTCAAAAAGAAGGAGGAAATATTCAAATTGAAGATTTTATTGTTTTGGAATACCGAGGTTTGGAAACGTCCAACCAATAAATGGTGGGGGGGGGGGGAGGTGAGGACATTGTATAAGGGAGAGTGCCATCTGGTGGACAAAAATTTAAGCTGAAAAAGGGAAAGTTCCTATTTCTCTATGAATCAGATCTGATACAATGAAAAGGAAATATTGAAACAATATAACAAGTATCCTAAAAAGTGAAAATTGAATTAGAACAAAAGAAAAAAATATGGATTGTTGGACTGATTGGTGATTTTGCTATAAACCCGGTTTGGGAATAGTTGTTAATCCAGAAAGCTTGAAGAAGAACAAAGAAAAAGATTGGTGATTGGTGGATTTTAATGACTATACTATATAAAAGTGTGTAACGATGATATCTCTGTGGGATCTAAAAATAGAACTTAAAAATTTGAAAGAACTACTACACGCAAGAAGAATAATGTGAAGAATAT